GTTCAGGAACCATGCAAGCAAATTGTGAGCACTCATTGACACAAAATACAAAACTAGCAAGTGATGTAGCAAGTTTTTAGCGCCTCTACGATACTTGACTTCTGTAAGTTTCCTTGCAAACCATATCATTTACAAAATGATGTCCCTTATCATGTGTGAAAATACTACATATCTTACTCTCCTATAGTATATGCATTTCACATGTGCAAAATGCTTAAATATTTCTAAGTTTTAATTCGGATCATACTAAAATCGGTGGAGAACCTGTGCTAGTTTCAGTATTAGTTATTACTTTCTGTAACAGAGTCCGATCACGGAGGTATTAGTTTGTTTCATGGGATAGTTGTGTGGTGTATTACCTTACCTCACGTATAGACTGTAGAAGACGGTTTTATAACTGTCACATGAAGTAAAAATAATTCTGGATTCTTGTGATCCAGCTTTCTGATTAGTCGGCCGAAGAGAGAATGTGAACTGTGAACACAGTTTTGGCGTTTTCAACCAGATTAACTTATATTCTGAAGGAGTCAAGTTTTGCTTGTGATTTTTGCCTTATTTTGCTTGATTCTATATTTTATGGTCGAGTACAGTTTAAGCTCGATTGAAGCATGAGTACAGTTCGTTTTAATCTATTTTACTAAATATAGTTCATTTATTTAACTCTTATACACAACGATGCAATAATCCTAACAACTATTGTGATAAGCACTTCATACTTGTTTTGATTTATAAATAAAACGTGTTTTATTTTTACTTTGACTTCATCGCCAGTCCTATCTGTTTCATTCGATTACTGTAAATCAATACATCTATGTTCTGACAGGTCATTGAATCTTTAATTATTGTGGAGATCAGGTAAGTACGTGCTAGGCTTATCGTTGATTTACAGAAGTCGATCAGAAGAAGGTTTTGTCTAAATTAATATCCTTTCATTTGTATGAGACTAGAAATAAACTCCATAGAATTGTATGAAGATCATGTCGTTTTAGGATAAGTATGAAAAATGAACTTAAACATATGGTAAAATAAACTTACACCATAATTCAAGTTAAATTTGTTCCTTTTCATTGTGCGTTTTGATTTCACGTATTGATTTAAATCTACATTAGTTATAATTTTACTTATAAAACTTACGTACGCTTCTCTTGGAAAATAATAGATTGTCCAAACATCTTGAAATATATATATATATATATATATATATATATAAAACGTTAAGATCAAAACTGAAACTGTTAGTTGGGCCTCCTCGTGGCTTAGCAGGAATTATCACAGCTTAAAATGCAAACATTTGGTGGGCAGGGCACAAATAGCCCATTTAATAGTTAGTCGGGTATATATACATTACTACAAAAAATGTATACACTCAATCCTATATGCATAATTTTTATTGTAGATATATAATCACAATATTTATTATCAACAAAATAGATCTTTGTTAGATCTTTACAAGGAGGACTCCAAAGGGTAGAATAATAGAAAGTTTAAAAAAATCTTTTTCGCATATTAGCCGTTTCTAAAGTTTGGAAGTTGAGTGTACGTAAATTTCAAAATTATACCCTTCCACCCATTTATATATTTATTTTCTATCTTTCATTTATTACGTTTAATTCCTTTGATGAATGATTAATCTTTTTTTCCACTGAAGTTCAAATTTATAATCTTTAATTAAGTTTTATTGGACTTCGCTTTTTAGAACAATTATAGGTGCTGCAAGATGATTTTGGGATATCAAGAACATAGATTTTTTGATTTCTCTTCCACAGTGTGTACATAATTATTTAGATTACAATTACAAGTCAAGAGAATACCGTGTACTCGTACAAATGCTAATCTTGTCCTAAATTGAATAACACCACGTAACCTTTGCCAAGTAATTTAGTTACGCCTGTTTCGAAAGACGTGTAAGATATATCTACAGCGTCTAACTCAACAACAGTGAAAATGCCAAATAACAAAAATGGCCGAGGTCCTACGTTCGACCTTATCATTAGAATTTATACATTTTAAATTTCACTCCAATGTTTACACATCGTAGATACAGTGACTCGTTTTAAACCTGTTATAATTGACATTCAAACTAAAGATTAGGTTATTGTTCCTAATAAGCTTGTTTCGTTTGATTTAAAGGGAGAAACGGTTAGATAGCAGGAAAATACAAAACTATTTTTTGAACCTGAGTTATTTTGTGAAACTGGTAAATCAAGGTACAGCTAGCTACTCTGAACCCTTCAGTCCGAATCTTTAATACCTTTTTGATTTTTTGCACTGTTTCGCTACTCATTTGTTGTTTGTGTCAAGAGTAATCATATTTTCGCTGTCCTAATCAAACATATTCCCCATTACTTCTTAGCAGGTGTCAATTCCATCACGCCCGTTGCATGATACATCTAAATTACTGTTCGTGTTGATTCCTTTTGTGGTGTTTCTGTTGCATAGATCTTGCTTAGAATCATGAAATGCTAGTCATGAAATATTGACATGTTCATGGAGTTTAAGCTTACTGCACATTTCAAGCTTCCAATAGGAAATAACATCAGGCTAAGGACACGCAGCACAAGTAAGTATATCGCTAGTACTTAAATTTGGTGGTCTTTGCTAGCCGATGTTGCTGTCAACTACTGAACTTTCTTGGGGTAGATATCTCACGGCAGCCATGATACACACATTCTAATTTTGGAACCCCAGAACTGTGAAATGAGGGTACACTTAGTGTGGAACTAGATTTAAGTTCAATATTCTCCAGTGAAGTCACTATGGAGGAATATAAGCCAAAATACGCTTTTCCCTAGCGACAATCACAAGAAATGCATGAACCATGTGTCGTAGGCTGTATTTTTAATATGACTAGTAAATACAAATATCGTCAAAACAGAAGCATTTTATTGGTAATCTGCTTTGAGGAATGGTAGGAGAGGCAATGGTGACGTTTTATGTTTTCCATGTACAGTAGTTATGTGTATTTGGCTTATACTTAGCTTGCTAACTCTATGGAGCTAATTGACTCACAATAAAATTAACAGACGATTTCACAGGTCTATATACTAAGTCGCTTTAATACTTCCCAATAAATTGTTGAATGGGATCATTACACATAAATATATATATATATATAGACTAATTTTAACTTTCTTAGTTGCGGAAATGGTTAACTGTCAAAGGCCTGTCATTATACTTTTTACTGCAGGTCTAATATGTTAAGTACATAAGCTAACACATCCCTGCCTTTCTTAAGAGTTCTTATTATTAATTTAAGCTAACACATTTTATTAAAACTTTGATGATTTAAGTCACAGTCACTCAGTTTTCATTTCTAGCTGTTTTGTGTAAAATAACACACACACACACACACACATATATAC